GAAACAGAGGACTAAGGTACTTAAATGGACAAAATGTGAAGAACCAGCTATTTCAGGAGCATGAATAATCTACAAAATGAATAATCAACCTCCATATTGCCTAGGGTTAACTATATAAACATATAACCACATTTTCTATGCAGCCTTGGGTTTGTTTATTATTTTGATTTTGCTGATCAGAGAATAGGTCAAGATTTTTAATTGCTCTTTTTTGGTAAAATAGAAATCTACAAAATGGGTAATTTACTATTTTGGGATCATTGCTCAGGAATGCATTTATCTTAGAAATGGTTACCATGGAAATGAGCATATACCATATGATTCTACAGCTTGTGAGTCATGTAGCATGTTAATAAGAACTAACCATATATGTGTCTATACATACACATTTGCACACACATACATATACAGGTTATGTTATTCCTTGTTTTTTATAAAATAATAATAATGATATTTCCATGTAGTGCTGACCCCCTGCTGGTGTACACTATCATAAAATTACTAGAAAATTCAGGTTTTCATAATGCATTAACTTAAATTATTTTTAAATGTCAAAAAATTTTTTTCTGAATCAAGTTGAAAGTCTATTGACACAAATCATCAAAAGAAAAGTGCTAATAAATATTACTTTTTTCTCCTAAAGTCCTTTGATTTTATTGGTTGGTGAAGGATCTCTTTCTACCAATGCAGATAAAACAGTCAACTATTCTTCAATTTATAATCTTAGAGATTTGCCTGGGGGCATCAAACAGTCTAGAGACTTGCCCAAGGTCACACAGCAAGTATGAGTCAGAGGCAGGTCTTGGTCTCAAGTCATCCTGAGTACAAGGCCATTGCTCTATCCATTATACCACACTGTATCTCAGGAAGTAGTATACATTTTATGTGGAAGAAATGTAAAGACAAGAAAACAGAAAAAAAAAAATCCAAGAATAAAAACAATGACAAATTCTTAAGTAATTTATTCATACTGCTGTCAATGTTGGACAAATTTACTTGCTTGCTAAAAAAAATTGCATGAAAAATATCACTTTAAAACTCAGAAGTTTCCAAAACATTGTCCCCTTTCAGGAAACCACACAGACCAGCAAGTTTGCTGGAAGTTCCCACTTTCCTTTTGATAAACACCAAATTTAAGAATTTCCAACACTATACAGCCAGAAAGGCTTTTTTCCCCCTTCATCTTGATAGTTTGTTAGTAACAACATTTCTTTGAACCTAAAAGAATTACACATCTTCAATGTGATGTTTCAAATTCAGTACAATAGTGGAAATGACTGTGATTACTAGCTCCCCCCAAATGCAATCAATGCAATAGGTTGCAAATGACTTAGCAGCATTTAGTAACACATAAGCTACTTATCAACATCTACTTTTATTTGTGCTCTATGGTAAAACAAGACAAAACAAAAATTCTTCTGCATTTAAACATACAAGCAATTATGTACCTGCATTTGTGTCTATGTATGGGTACGTGTTTAAAGCATAAATATACAAAGTCAGAAAATTTTTGAATTTTTTTATTTTTAAATAACATTTTATTTTTCACAATTGCATATAAAAACACATTTAAATATTCGTTAAAATTTTTTTGAGTTCCAAATTCTCTCCTTCCCTCCCCCCTCCCTGAGACAGTAAGCAATTTGATATGTTTTACATGTTCAATCATGCAAAGCCTATTTCCATATTAGTCATGTGAAAGAAAACACAGACCAAAAAAGAAACCAAAACATGAGAAAGATAAGTGAAAAAAAGTATGCTTTGATTTACATTCAGTTCTTTCTCTGGAGGTGGATGATAATTTTCATTGTGAGTCCTTTCAATTGCTTTGGATCCTTGTATTACTGAGAAGAATAAATATAAATTTTAGCGAACAATTTACACGTTTCTGATAACATTACTCTAATGGTATTACATGGCTATAGATAAAAAACATTACAGTCTCCAAAGAATCAAAATTGCTGGTAACTGAAAAAGCAATGGAGAGATGACAGTAGGAGGAAATGGGCTGTAGCTATTTCTAATGGCAACTTTAGTGCTAGAAGTGACATAAAAGATATCAACGATTTTGGAGATGCTAGCTGGGGAACAGAGGGGGGGCCATTCACACTGAGAGCAAAAGATAACAGATGTATGGCCTGAGTGCTGCAGTAGCATCCATTTAATGTTAAAAGATCTGAAAGAATGCTTATAGAATTGGTAGACTCACTATGGAGGATGCGTGTAAGAGCATCACAGGATGAGAAACATGTATATACCATAGGCAGTAGTACCCACAACCCTGATGAGACCATCTATCCACTAAAGTATTGAAGTGAGGCAATATAAATATCAATCAACTAAACAAACCAGTGTGAGCTACTGTTGATTTTTACCAGTACAGCTATTTTTAACATTCTAGATGAATAAACACGCATCAAGGTACAGCTGGAAAAACAAAGCATTCTACATGAGTCTGCTATTAGTAAGGGAAATCATTATATCTTTTCAAAGTCTGTATTATTTCCAAACTGATGTATCATGATATGTTAGAACTAAACTTCAATTTAATTCAATGAGTCTTCTAAATACAAACACTATGCTTGACACTTGGTATACAAAAACAAAGTAGTTCTTCCTTCAAGGAGCTTACTCCCTTCCACAAATAGTTTTATCATTTTCATTTTTTTTTTAGGATAGGCAATGGGGTTAAGTGACTTGCCCAGGGTCACACAACTCGTAAGTGTTATGTGTCTGAGGCTGGATTTGAACTCAGGTCCTCCTGAATCCAAGGCCAGTGCTCTATCCACTGAACCACCTAGCTGCCACCACAAATAGTTTTATCCATCATTTAGTCCAATCTCCTTATTTTACAGGTGAAGAAACTGAGACCTAGACAGAGTAAGTAATTGGTCCTAAGTCACTGATCACTAGTCACTACCATAGCCAGAATTGGGTCCCAGGTTTCCTTATATCCACAACTGTGTACATAGGACTGTCCACAGAACACCATATTGCCTTCTAGTGACATATTCTCTCCACCACATTAAATGGTACAGAGACTTATTACAAATTGTTCAGTTCCATTCAGTTGCTTCCCTCTATTACACACTTCTTTAGGGTAATAAACCTTCATAAATTTCATGCCTTTTTTTTTCATTCTCAGCATAATAGGATTCTGATAATCTATGAGAGGCCATTCAAGGGCCATATAAGTAGTGTCCTATCATATTTCAATCTTTTCAAAGACCTGTGATTCCATAAGTGTGAGTACCGTACTCCTTCCACCAAGGCAGATCTTGTAACTCTTCTGTGTCTTAGCAGTCAATCTGGCATTGAACATTTTTTTGGAATTAGCTAGGTTGATCCTTATATGTCAGACATATAATCCATCATCAGATTCTGAAATAAAAGCCTTTCCGATTTGACAGAACCTACCAGAGTTTTTGTTCCACTCTCATAGCCTTTTAGAATCCAGAGTTACCTCCATGCTCCAATGAGGTATTAGAGTAGTCTTTAGTGGAGGTGTCTTATATGCCATCATATTCTTCCCAAGATAATTATTCATAAAATCAGAAAAATGGGTATATCCTATTTTGGCATATTCTGAAACATACACTGTTCCAGAGTTTATAATTTATCAATTTGAGATTTCTAGAAATATTTTGGGTTTTGGTCCTCTTTTTTTTTTTTATCTTTTTTCTGGATACACTGTTCTTTTCTTTCCAAACCCATTGTTTTGATGAATTCAACCATTCTTGCGCGCGCGCGTGTGTGTGTGTGTGTGTGTGTGTGTGTGTGTGTGTGTGTGTGTGTATGTATGCATGTATATTATTTCCAAGTGTACAGGGGACCTCTCACCTTATCTATGCTTCAGTATAGTATTTTCAACTGATTATAGAACATTTCCATTTGGATGTCCTCTATTAAAAATGATCGTGTACAGAACTGAACTAATCTCTTAGCTCTAATCCACATATCCAGATACATTACTGTCAGTGGTACCACCATTCACTCAGTTTCTGGGCCTAGAAACCTATGAACTATGTTTGATTCTTTTGCCTCTTTCTGTATATCCTGTCTTTCACTAGGCCCTGTCATTTCTTGCTTTGAAATGTCCTTTATCTATCCCTTCTTCTCTTTTCCCATTACTTAAATCCTATGGCAGGCATTCATTATCTCATCTGATAATTATGGCAACAGCCTCCTAACTGGCTTCTCTAGTATTTTCTCTAATAGAGTATTTTCAGCTGATTAAAAGGCATTTCCACTTGAACGTTAGAGATTGGAATAAAGGAGGAGAAAATGAGGGATAACTTTGCTAGGAAGTAAAAGGGAGCTTTTGTTAGTTCAGTTCAGAAAAATAATAACAATATTAATACATATACTTTAAGATTTGTAAAGTAGTTGGTGTATTATTTTATCTTAGCAACAATGAAACATGGGCCAAGTTTGTGTTATTTAATAATAATTAATATTTATATAAGCTTTTTAAATTTGCAAAATGCTTGTCTCACTTGATCCTCACAAAAACATTGTGAGGTAGGTGCCACAGATGTTATCATCTCCTTTTTATAAGTGAGGTGCAGAGAGATTGTAACTTGCCTAAGATAACACAGCTAGTGAAGGAGGTGGGATTTGAACCGGTCTTCCTGACTTCAAGGCCAGCATTCCCTCCATCTCTACACTACTGCCTGGAATCAGGTATAAAAAGGAACCCTCCTTGTATCTTTCATAGCCACAGCATAAACAGAAAATCACCTGAGCTTTAAAAGAAAAAAAAATATGTGGGTGGGTGTGTTACAATATTTTTTTTCAGACTAGGTCTAATATTTTACATCATTCTTGCTAACATTATTAGTAAGCTTGGATAAAGCTTGGATAAATAGCCTTTTGAGGCTGCAAGGAGAGATGAGACATGGAGATTCTGAGCCCTCTTACAGGAAGCAGAAACAGGATCCAATCAGCCCCTGCTTTTGAATGACCAATCGAAAGCTGTGTTGCATCCTGGCACTAGAAAAATGAGGCTTGGTGGTGCTGTCAGCCGGCCCAGTAGCTGCTGCTAGAATCCAAAGGGGAGGGAGAAACTAGTGGTGTGCTTGTTACCTGTGTGATAAAGGAAGAAGAGATCAGCCTCACCTTGTACATCTTAGATTTGCTTTTATTTGTTACCAGCGACTGTTCATGTAATGCACTCCCTTAACCAGGAAATTAGAACATTCTCCCGGACTAATCTCAGGAAGCAATGCACCAGGGTGACAACATTAACTGGGAAAAAAATTATAGAAACGTGGAAAGATGCCAGAATTCACGTTGTGGAAGAAGTTGAGCCTGGCAGTGGGGGTGGCTGTGGTTATGTGCAGGACCTGAGCCTGGACCTGCAAGTTGGTGTAATTAAGCCATGGTTGCTGCTGGGTGAGTATATGTATTGGCTCCTGAGTCAGGGTCATCATTTTGCTTATTTATTTATTTTTTTAAATCCTTAATTCAGTTGGAATCAGTTACACAGTTGGAAAGTTGAAATGTTTGCATTTGGGCTTTGGAATTCACTGTAGATGAACAGACATTTCTGGCAAAAGTCAGTCTTCACACCCCGTGTACACTGTATTGGTCAGAAGCACATGCCCTAGTATATACACAGTATTGAATAGCTGTAATATATATAAGTTGTCATCTTGCTTTCCTAATTTCTCAAGATGGATATAAATTGATAATGAATAGGGAAAATTTGCCAGCTGATTTATTTGTAAGCAGAGGACTAGATGAACCCTCTGCTCAAGTTGATTGGAGAGACTCCTCAAATTGAACAGGGATCACTATGAGGTTTTTTTTTTGTTGAAAGTTTATCAAACTAAATAGAAATGTGGGTTTAGGAGAAATTGTCATGGGATAACAACAATGAGAGAAACAGTAGAAAAAGCAATGGATTTGGAGTCAGAAGATCCGGGTTTAAATGCTGTCTGTGCTACTGACTATCTGTGTAACCTTGGGTAAATCACTTAACCTTTCTGGGCCTCAGTTTACTCTACTGTAAAATAAGAAGACTGGACTCAGTGACCTCCAAGGTCACTACCAGTCCTAAATCTATTATCCTGTGAGGTCATGGTATAGTATATCACTTCTTACATAGGAATATAAGGGTTATGTTTTTTGCTTTCACCCTATTTGAACCATAAATAATCAAAAGAATTGGCTGATGTAATGCCTGATTAGTGCCTAATCGCTTGTGTGTTAGTGACTAAGAGAGAGGTAAGTTCTTTATGTATAACATTACATTCAATGATAATATTTATGAAAGGTGGAAATTGTTTATGTAAATAGAGGGGGGGAAGTTTTAAGAGAAATTCACCATGATACACTTACTTGACTTGCCTTTATGCTCATCTGATGGTAAGGGCATACAATTGTGCCTACATATAATCAGGCGCTATTTCTGTAGGGTTCAAGAAATGGGCTCTGTCATGTAGTATTGCACCTGTTGTCTTTAACTGTCTTCTGGGCTAGGGCATTCCTTGTCTTTGCTTTCACTGAACCATAACATAAAAGGTAAGTAGGGAAAGAGTCATACCACTAAAATTTTTTTGAAAAATATTTGCCTATGTGACTAAATTGACCTCTACCTACTTCTTTAACTGTTACTAACAGCGTACATTTTTTGTTTTATATTTTTAAATGACATGTTACTCATAGCAGTCGATACTACTGAAAACAATCTCGATTATTTCCCTTTTTAAAAAGCAAAATTGAGAAATTGAGAATTTGGGCTTATTGAATGATTTGCCCACAGTTATAGAGAATCTGTAGAGAAAGGCACACCAGGATAGGAATTTGAAAGCTCTGTTTTGCTCTGGAACTAACTCGTTTGTAACCTTTGGTAAGCCTTTTACTTTTCTGGGCCTCAGTACCTTTGAGTGTAAAATGGAGTTGATAATACCCACCTTACCATCTGTTTCACAGGGCTATTATGAGAGCAAAAGGGAGAAGAATTTAAAAGTACTTTGAAAGGTGTAAAGTTCTATGCAACTATAAGGTGGTATTTTTAGTAGGGTATGGGCACTTTGCCAAGCAAAGCCCTTTCCTTTATCAATTTTCAAAAATTATGAGGGAAAAATTTTTACTTTGTGAAGAATTGGCTGAAAACCTTGCAATCTTATTTCCCATGAACCTAGTTTTCGAAGTTCACCAGACTCCCTTACCATGACTGGAAAAGGATTTAACTTTTTTAGTTCACTTTTTCCAAGGATGTCTATTCACCAGCTGTTTGATTACCTGTTTGGTAGAAATAACACAAGAAGCTTGCAGAGTGTTGTAATACTGTTGGAGGATCTACATTAATACATGTATTTGTGGAATTATTTTATAAAATGGCAACAATGAGCAAAGTCTTAATTAAGCTAATAAATTATTCTTTTCTACAAAGCTACAAGAAGACAACAAATTAATCTTTGTATTATCTTTGTCTGGACTTGTTCCAGATGGACATATGAAAACAGTTTTGCTCAGATGAGAATATTCTAAAGTGTTGAGACAAGTCCTTTTATATTACCTTTCATATCATCAAAGGGGGTGCCCTCTTCAGCCTCTGCCTTCATTTGTCTTTGATGCCCCACCTCTAATACTTACTACTTGGACAAGTCATTTAACCTCACTGAAGCTTCAGTTTCCTCATCTATAAAATGTTAGTGTTGGACTAGTTGGCCTTTGAGATCCCTTCCAGCTCCAAATCTATGATTCCATATTCCTATGATTTATGAACTACTTTCTACCATCCCTTTCCAATGGGATACATGACCTATTTTAGCTTGTTCCTCTTATCCCAGAAGCCCTGCCTCTTGAATAATGTACAATCTGCTTCCTGACCACTTTTTTCCCTATTTTAGTGGCATGGGATTATTTCTAGTTTTATTTCTCCAACTTCAGCCTTCTCTTGCCCTCCCTTCCAGAATTACATACTAGTTAACAACTTTGGCTTCTGGTTTGCTTTGTTTCAGTGAGGAGTAAGGGAGTTGGAGAGCCATAAAAAGGTAATTTATACTTTTTTCAACTTACTGACATAAACATGATTAAGTATTTACTTAATGCCTAAATATGCTGCTGTATTTAAATATATATATAAATAGTCCCTTCAACAAATAAATTAATAGTATAATCATAGAATCATAGATTTAGAACTAGGAAGGAACTTGGAGGCCATTTAAACCAAACCCTTTCATTTAACAGATGAGAATACTGAGATAGAGGGTAAATGATTTGCTCAATAAGTTATTGATTCAGTAAGTACTTATTATGTGTCTATTATGTGGCAAGCAAGAGGCAAAGTGGTTTGGTTGGAGAGGATCTAGATTCAAGTCTTACCTGTGACCCATACTGGCTATATAACCCTGGGTAAGTTGTTTAGCCTCTCAATGGACCAGACAACTCTGAGACTACAAATTGGGGGCAGTTGCTGAACTGTTGGTAGTAGTAGTTTCCTCATTGGGAACTTCCTACACTAATAAAATCACAAGTTTGGCCAAAAAGATGTGCCACATGCTAGAAATAAAAAGCCAAAAGTGAAATATTTCTTCCCTGAAAGAGTTTACACACTACTGGGGGAGACAGCATGAATCCAGATAAGTTAAAGCAATATATACAAAGTAATTTCTGGTTGGTATAGGGAGAGGATGCTAGGTACTGGGAGACTCAGAATAGACCTTAGGTGGTCTATCCTCAAAGGTCTATCCTTGAAATTTTATCCATCCTCAAGATGAGCCTTGACGAATCAGGAAGTAGGCCAGTTTGCCTAGAATGTAGAATCAGAGATGAAACAAATGTACAGTTAGCCTGGAAAGGGAGACTAGAAGCAGATTGTGAATGAAAATGGAGTACAGTAGTTTGCATTTTAAACTAGAGTCATTTGGGAATCACTGGAACTTTTTAACTGAGTAGGTTAGACTTATTCCTTGGGAATATCACTGGCATGTGGAGAAAGGATTTCTACTATGTAGAAAAAGGATCAAAGGAAAGGACGCCAATTAGGAAGTTACTGTAATAGTCCAGGTGAGAGAGCCTGAACTAGGATGGTGGCCATGTGAGTAAAGAAAAGGGGATAGATTTGAAATATAGAATCCATACTTGGCAACTAAGTGGGTTTAGGGAATCATGGGGAGTGAACAGTCAAAGATGACTCTGCAGTTTCAAACCTGGAGGTGGTGTCTTCAACTGAAAGAGGAAAATTATGAAGAGGGAAGGGTTCTGAGGAAAAGATAGTGAGGTCTATTTTAAACGTACTACATATTTAAGATATCCACAGGGCATGCTGTGTGAGATGTATCATATGTATTGGTGATGTGAGACTAAAGCTCAGAAGAAAGATTAGGGCTGGATATTTAAATCTAGGAATCATCTGCACAAAGATGATAGTTAAGCCAATGACAACTGATGAGATCACCCTAGAGAGAGAAGAGAAATGGGCCCAGGAGAGAACACAGGAGTATATCCACACAGAAGGGGAAGGACATGGATAATGATAACAGCAAAGAAGACTAAGAGGAAGAAAAAGAACCAGGAGATAACAATGCCACAGAAAGGAAAGAGTATCTAGGAGGAGGGGGTGATCAGCTGCAGAGGTCAAGAAGCTCCCATGAAACAAGGAAATATTAGTAGTTCATTACTTTTCTTCATTTCTGATGTGTAAGGCACATTTGGAGACCACTAGTAATTTATGCCTACATTTTAGCAACTGTAAAAGTGCATACTTTTTTTTTTCAAAAGTACATCTCCATTTGACAGCATAAATTCTTTTTTTGTTTTATTTTATGTCCTTAGTTGGGCTTGCTATTCAAATTTGTGATAACTACCCTGTAGATAGTTCTGACTGGTTATCCTTCTGTTTGAGAACTACTTTTCTGTTCACTTTTTCCAGATGATAGTTCTTAGAATCCTATATAACATCCACTCTGGATTCAATCCCCCAATTTACACTCTTACTAGCAGGTTGGGTACCTAGAGGAAAAAGCGCTGCATCAGCTTCTAGAGGTAATCCTGTAGATGAATGCTACTAACACTGTAGCTCCAGAGTTAACACTGGTGTTTTTCCCATTAACCATCAGGCAGTAGACTGAACTAGTTCTTAGGAAAGAGTCAAACAGCATAGCAAGAATGATAGCCACAAATAAAGCCCCCCAAACCTGCGGTATCTTCTCCCACAAATACGCACCAAATATATGGGAGGAAAGTGGGTACAGATTAAAGTATGGTGGTAGTGAGCCATACTTGTAGGGAACCCATGTGGCCAAACTACAACTGCAAAACTGTGGTGTCTTGTTGATGTTTCTCCAGAGAATCCTCATGAAGTCCACTGAAGGACAGGGCATCAGTATAAAGTTGGCTTTTAGTCACAGGGCCCGAATTGAGGACTTAGAGGGCCACATGTG